CGTTGATTAAATCTAACGAAGCTTATCATGTCGAATGCTTTTTCCCCCTTAGTTGGTCAGAACAAAAATGGATGTTACTTACTTGTTCAGAAGACATTTTCTTATGAAAATTCTTATGTTGGTCAAACTTTCAAAAAGTGAATCTGTGATTCTGTATGACAGTATCCACACAGCGCGGTGACTGACAGCACCACTCGCCTCAAAGCACTGTGTTCATCCGCGCTGTTTCATGCCGACTTACAACCCACGTAAAGATGATAATTCCGCGAATCACTGCAGTTACAGATTTCGAACAGAGAGATGGCGCCAAAGAGGAAAAGCTACGGACTGCAGCTTTAACTTTAGTGGTATAAAGTTGACCATCGAAATAAAGTGTAACCAAAATACATTATTAAATATAATATTTTTGTGTATTTGTGTATAAAATTCCAAAAATAAAAGCTTCCAAAAGTCAGTCAAACCAGGATATACACCAATCTCTTGGTGGAGTTCAGATTTGTGGGAGTCCGTCAGGATGGGAAAGGCAATCAATCACTCTTTTTACATGCTGGCTTTACTCATCTCATCTTTTGCAGTGCCTTACACAGCCTTGTGATGCTCTATAATACACAGAGAATAAAGAAAATCTGCATGTGTGGCAGAAGCTTTAAATGATTTGTAGTTCACGATTGCACACAAGAACCATTCCAATCTAAGAAACATCCGAAAATAGGACACAATCGCACACATCAGCATTAATGCTTTGCTAGGTGCACACATGCAGCGGACGGCGACATGTCCACTCTACATGATGAGCACCCAGTGGAAAATTGAACAAGCTTCCCTGTAGCGAAAACCACACTGGTTCACAGTGATAAACTAGGCACTGAGTCAAGCAGAAAATGCAAAGGGAAGGCGCAGGGAAAAGGCCAATTCTAGGTGTTTAGCCAAAGCATTGATTAGCACAGTGCTTTGCAGAGACACTCAATAACTAGCAAGTCTGGCGGTTTCCCAAAAGAACAGATGTAAACACTGTTCTTTTGGTAATGAACCTTTATATCCTCCCATGACCCCCTCGCTCTTTTATAAATGGTGTTTAATCTCTGTCACATTAATTGGTCTGGGAAACCAGCTGAAATTAGTATTCTGAAGCGGCCTTTAACCTTGAGATAAAAGTCTAACAAGTTACAGAATAAGATGCAGAAACCTTCTGAGACACGTTTACACCTGGTGTTAACATCTGTATCTGGGAAGAGTAAAAACTTTTTTCTCTGCATCTTAAATATATAGTGTACAACAAAATACAGTGTTAAAATACGCCGTTAAAAAATGGGCTCTGTAAGATTTTTTGTTTAATTGATCAAAAGATGTTACAAAGGATTTCTATTTAAAATTAATGTTCTTTTGAATTTTTTTGCATTTGTTTTTACTGTGTGTTTGATAAAAACAAATGCACCCTTGATGAACAAAATAAGAGAACATAATAAGAGACTTATTACAATAAATAAATCTTACCAACCCCAATCTTTTGAATGGTATTTTGCCAGTTTTTGTTTTAAAAAATATTTTGAATTCATAAATACCACTATGTATATCAATATCAATAAAATTAGTTTTTGAAAGGTTGCTATCACAAAATGTTACATCCTGAACGAACCGTGCCTTGCCAAATGAACCGATATTTTAAGAGATTTTCTGATCTTGATGCCATTTGACAGAAGACACATTTGAGATGCAAGTCAATTAGCCTGGGAAAACCCAGACAACTTCCGGCAAATTTAGATGTGCTCTGAAAGTTAGTCTGGCAAAGAGCTCATTCAAGCCCATTTCCAATCCGTCGAAATCGAGGCACCAATCAGAAACGTTGGGGCGGGCTTTACACGATGACGACAGCGCTGGGATTTTGAAGCAGATTTTGTAGCCTACATTACAAAGATGGATGCCGCCGTCGAACATCACTCGCGTCTGTTTTAAGCGCTTTGAACGTTTCCTTTTTGTTAAAAACCGAGCAAAGAACAACACTCGGAGATGTTTCTCCGCCGCTCTGCATACGTCATCTCCTTCATCGCGACGTCCGTTGGTGACGCCCCTCTGGAAATTATTTGTCTATGACGCTTTGCCAGACCATAACTCAGTTACAACTGAGAATGGTCTGGTTTTAACCAGGCTACAAGTCAATAACAGATGTACAGTAAATGGCAATATGTCTCATTTGAACACTTGTGATCAGACCACACAAAGTTTTTACTGGTTTAAACAGAGAGACAGTGATCTAAAATATAGTCTCCTTTGTCTTCCAAATGTTAGCTGTTGACATGGGATTATTTTAAGCTATAAATGTGAACAAAACCAAAACAATGAATCCAACCAACAAATAAAATTCCACTGGTGTCTCTTTGGGAGTTGGCAGTCTTTTAAAGTTAGGGATAGTTACCCCCAGAGGATTGTGGGTCGCTTTGGGCACTTCCTGTGTTGAGGGAGGGGCAGGGTGGTGCAGATGTGAGCTCATAGATAAGGAGGGAACCATAACACCCTCTGATAATGGCTTCCTGTTTTGTGATTTAAGTTGCGTTGGTCCTCTGCAATGCCTCTGAACTTTCGGATGTTTATCCAATCAGAAGGGCGGACGAACGGGGTGCTTTGGCCAACGAAATAATCAATTTGTTTACCGAACACATCAAGTCTGTCATTTAAAGGGGCACCAACAGTTTACTTTGGCTGCACAGGAAGTAAACATTTTAAACAGGAAATTCCTAACACATAAGTAATGTCACTGGGCTATTCCTGCTCAAAATAGTTGTGACAATGAAATAATGGCCAGGCAGTGAAACATGTGCATTGGGACTTTTGAAGGAGCATTCCTTTTGTATTCCAATTTAGGATGTTATTTGGCAAAAGCCATTTTATTCAAATAGCCCCACAATTACCATCTGTACTTCAGGGAGAACAGCAATCACGCCATATCCGCATGAGCAAGCCATCCACTAAATTTAGTTTACTTTAAACAAATGGTGGCATTCCCTGCAGATGAGTGTGCAGATGAACAGATAGACATGGAAGACACAAACAAACTGACAGTGAGACAAAGAAGATTGCGCTTGTAAATCATTGTATTATTGCAGAAAAAAATATATTGTATTGAACATTTATGGAGCAACAGATTTTGTGTGAAAATAAATCAATTATTTTGTTTAAAAATCTTATAAATGTATGAGGTGGTGAAGCTGGCTTTTTACCCCACACACGGGGTAAAAGGCTCACCAGCAAGGGGTAAAAGGCACCCATTATTTATACAAATACTTTAGCTTTAAAGTGGATGTTGAATCCTGATAGAGAATGTCAAATAAGGTATAAATGCTTTAAATGTTATAGTTTTGACAATATTTAATCTATTGAATAATTTATTCAATACTATTATTATGTTCATCTAAAATTATTCTAAACATTTGTATGTTTCTAAAGTTCTTCATATTCAACATGCTCATGTTTTAGATGCTGCCGATACATTTACTGTATAATGTACATTTTGGTGTCTGTGCAGATGTACGATTACTAAACAGTTCACATATATGGAGATTTCAAAGCCACCTGCAGAGCACCAGAACCACCGTGGTCTTCAGTGTCTAAAGTCTCAGATCAGACAGCGCTCAGAAACACTCTGAATTCAAATAGAAAAATGAAAGCACTGAAAACACCTTTTTCCTAGACAAACTCTATTGAGATCACTTTAAACGAATGGCTAAAACTGCACCTGAGCCTTAAAAGTATGTTTCATTGAAACTTTTTCATTGATATCACAGACCTTTTGTTAACACTCATGTTGGATTTTTGTGAGCATGGAGTCTAACAGAATTTTCTGTGATGAAATCTCTTTTTAAAGTTGTTCTTCAGAGAGAAAGTCTTCTCTTTCCGACCTCATGTTCCTGATACATTTCACACTTTCGTGTTGGATCTCAGCCAGACTGATATCAAGCGCGTGTCACCAATACTAATATTCTGCTAGTGTTCTGAGTTAAGAGCCAAAATAACAGACCAAGATAACATAGATGGGATGAGCTGATGGCATTTTAAAATGGTTAAATTAGCAAGATTTCTTTCTGCTGTCAGATCCACAGAAATTATAAAGATCACTCATGTATAAATACTCATTTATACTGTGTTTAAAAAATGAAGTAATGTTAGAAGTATATAAGTATATACAACTATACAGCAATGCCAGACTAGCCAAAATATACCCAGACAGAAGCAACACTTGCAATAGATGTGGACAGTACTCAGCCAATCATACTCACAGAGATTTGGTTTAAAATATTTGGAACTTTAAAAAAAAACTTGAATAAATTAGTCACTCCAAACCCTTCGACAGCTTATTGAAATTCCTTTTAAGCCTAATTTGGCCTCATACATACAAGAGGTTGTTCCTTTCACCACACTATTGGCCAGGAGGCTTATTCTCTTTAAGTGGAAACATGCATCCCCTGCTTCATATGGATAAAAGAAATTCCCGTGTTTAAAGCTGGAACAAATCAGTTTCTCTTTAAATGGATCTCTAAAAACCTTGCATAAAACATGTTAGCCTTTGTTCAATTATATTGATACCATTAATCCGTCACTTGAAAATGCAGAAGAGGATTAACTTTTTCTTTCAGACATTTATTGAATCATTTAACTAAATATACTTACAGTATATTATTATTGTTGTTATGGTATTTGTTGTTATAGGGTATGTGTTGGGTGGTTGTCCTTGAGATGCTAGGGGTGGAGGAAATGGGGGTGGGGAGTGAGGGAAAAATACTAAACTGTGTGGTTTACCTCATTATAAGTTGTTGTATCTGCACAAAATGTCAATAAATATATTTTGAAATTAATTCTAGATTTATATGTGTATCATATGAGGATTCCACATACAGTAGTTGCTGGGACATTGGGGTCCTTTATCAACCACCATGAAGGAACAGAGTTTTTAAAAACACTATAAATGGCTTATCAGTATTAAAAGGCTTTATTAACATGAGACTTACTCAGCAGCTGGTGGGGCAGGACCTGCAGGCTTCTCTTCATGGTATCATGTGGTCCGGCTCCTCCTCCACAGTGCTCATGGTTCTCTGCAGGACAAAGGATAGACGGGAATTAATCATAATCTGATTATCATGCCAGTGCATTCCTGAACTTTTAATGAACTTAAAGAACATACCGGTAATGAACTTTGCTATCATTAAAAAGGGTTGTAAGTAATTATTACATGTGAGGCAACCAGCCCAAAAGAGCAACATTAGCTCAAACAATAATGTGATGAGTATCTGTTTTTCAGACCAATGAAAGACAAAAGAGCATAAATGGTTTAGCTCTGAAAATAATAACTTGCACAAGCTGAAATTTATTTGACCTGTCATTAAAATTCCAGAATTATTCTCCAGTGTTCAGGCATTTGACATGAGCCGACACTTTCAGTCTCAGGAAACTGTCACAGTGCTAAATGCAAATGGACACGGACACATTTTCTCTCAAGAGATAAGCGTCTATGAATATGTGTGTGTGTGCTTTTGTGTGTGTGATTGTCAAGGTGTCAAAATTGTCACTCTCTCATCTTGTCCTTGGGGTACTGCGACTGAACCTCATCCCACCGCACAAGACATTGAGTCGATAAAGTATCTGAAATGAGATTTGAGCCCCCTTGGGTGAGAGGAAGTCTGAATCACATGCTAATCTAAACGTCTCGCCAACACAACCACATTGACCATGATACAGCGCATCATTGATCCCTTTTCATAATCTTTTCATTAAGAGCTGTCTGTCTTTCATAAGCATTGGATCAAATCAAGCCTTTTCTCAAATAGAAACCAAACCACATCTAAATAGCTTTTGATCAATGCTATTTAACGAGACGGCACTGATTTTGAAGGCGACAAGTCGAAGTAAATCTAAATGTGTATCACAAAGTAAGCAGCTAAGTAAAACAGCTCTCATACAACACTTCAGCCTAATACAAGGCTCGGTTCACAGGATTTTGAAAGATGGCTTAAATGTTTTCCTAAAAAAAAATATTTAAAAAATCAGTTATTTTTGTAAACAAAACACATCACAGCAAAAGGGTTGAATTCATTAAACAGTTGACACCTTTCTGTGTGGTAAAATAACAGTGTGCTTAAGCATACTTGGACTGTCCTGTGAGTAGCCTAGTTATTATGGAAAAATATAAGCTAAAAGAATATACTTAAAGGGATAGTTCAACAAAAATGAACATTCTGTCATCATTTACTCACTCTCAAGTTGTTCCAAACATGTATGAATTTCTTTCTTCCGTTGAATACAAAAGAAGATATTATGAAGAATGTGGGTAACCAATCACTTGATGGACCCCATTGACTTCCATAGGATTTTTTTTTTTCCATACTATGGAAGTCAATAGGGCTCATCAACTGTTTCTCTTCCGATATTGTTCAAAATATCTTTTTCAGCATTCAGCAGAAGAAAAAAATTCAGATGCACTTTATTTTACAGTATGTGCACTTACATGTACTTACAGTGTTCTTACCTAGAGTAAGTACTGGCTAATATAAGGTAAAAACATGGGTTAAGGTTAAGTTTAGGTGTAGATTCAGGGTTACTACCTAGTTATTACCCAGTTATTGTAATCACTATAATAAGCATAGAAACAGCACTGTAAAATAAAGTGCTACCAAAAATTCATAAAGGTTTTAGGTGAACTATGCCTTTAATAATGCTCTTTAAAGAATATGCCTTATTCACACAAAAAAACTGCTATTAGTGCTGGAAAGCTGGCACTAAACTGAATTTTATTCATGAGACATATTTGTGCATTTTCTACAGATCATGGCAGCAGTTATTCATAAAATTGAAAAATCAAATGATGGAAATGAGCGTTACAATCTCTCTCTCTCTCTCTCTCTCTCTCTCTCTCTCTCTCTCTCTCTCTCTCTCTCTCTCTCTCTCTCTCTCTCTCTCTCTCTCTCTCTCTCTCTCTCTCTCTCTCTCTCACACACACACTCACGCACATCAAACTGCCTCACTTCTCAATGTAATTCAATTATTATCCATTATAAGACTTGATTTCGACAATCAGTTAATGAATATTTTTTGCAAATAATTTCCATTTGGTTCATTATAACTGCAGCCTGTTCAACAGGCGAGAGGTTATAAACCTGTTCCCGTAATCTTCATCTCATTATTGTTCAACACAGCCAGTCGAGAAAATTCAACCGCTGAGCTTTCTGACTTCTCAATCAATACAGTTCATGATGTCTCAATCAATGAACACAACGCTTTTATGTGTGTGTGTGTGTGTGTGTGCAGTAGTCACTGCAACGTCATCACGGCACCTGTGAGAAAGTCTGTGATCCACACAGATTTTCAATAAAAGCAACCGTGTGTGTGAGTTTGTGTAGGAAGAAAGTCCATTTGTGGGTCATGCCCACCTGCGCTAGGAGGGAAATAGACGCAAGCACATTTTCTCAGACAACAGAGGTGAGGTCAGCAGAGTAAAAACTACAAGTACAAGACAAATTGAGAGGCCACAAAATGAGTAAAGCCTGAAAATAGGAGGTACAACTCGCTGTAATTTTTAGATACCATGCAGTGGCATTTGTACTTCTTTTCTAACAAACCACTGCATGGCAACTGGCACATAGAGAGACCCTGCTTCAGTCACCATGGCAACCTGAACTGAAAATGATATTCAAATCTCGTCACAACTGTGAGAACAATACAGAGAAAATCAAACTTGACATGGAGATATTAGCCACGTGTGCTTTAAGCCCTTGAGCCAACAGACTGAAAAAACAGCCCCTCCTTTCCCAAGGAGATGTTTGGTTTACGTTAATGATGACGGTTTGCAGACGTCCCGGGTCAGTTTTGAGACAGCACCTCTAAATTGTCAGTCTGGAAGGACAAGGGCTTTGAGATGAGCCAAGGTCAGCTGAGATGGTGTCGTGAAATAAAAGCTGTCAATGGATCCCCTCAGATCGCTGCCGACAGGAATAAGAAAGCTTCTGTCTTTATGTATGTCTGTATTTCACAGTCAGACTCCCAAAGGCGGAGAAATTGGCATGTTTGCTTCAGGGTAACTCATCAGTTTTGAAGCTTAAATAGAGGTTTGTGAAACCGCATTTGCAGCAAAAATAATGGTGAGTGGGGCACAAACTAACGCTGGGCTAGTTGTAACACACATGGTTTAAACCTTTCCACACATGCCAGCATGACAGAACTTAGTGTATTTACTAGTTGCCATATCAACACTATATAGAGAAATAATTGCACCACAATTAATAAATCTTTGGAAGATATCATTGAACGTTTATTTAACCATAGCAAAATTTAATTTCTTAAGTTCATTTTTCATCTCTGTTTTTTGTTTTTATTTAAATCCCAGTTGTGCAGGGGAATGTTGTAACACTGCATTACAATGTGCCCCATAGAACTATGCTATTCTATACTTTTATTAGTTCTGTTTTGAATTGCACTTTGAATTGCCATTGTGAAAGCACTTTGAATTGCCATTGTGTATGAAATGTGCTATATAAATAAACTTGCCTTGCCTTGCCTTGCCTGTTTTGTGGTGTGTTTGATGTCAAACTCAAAAATTACTTTATTTTTAATTATTAAAAATTCCATTATTTTATATGAAAAGGTTAATAATTGTATTTTATTGACACAAATATTTTAGTTGGTCTTATTATTATAATTTTTTTATTAGATCAGATAACATTTTAAGCTGTCATATGGTCATGTTACAATGTGCCCCACATTAATGAAACAAAACCACATAATTGTACTAGACGTGGGAAATTATTGTGGGAAAAAAAAAAAATTTACTGAACCCCAAGTGAATTTACACAAACTGAGAAAGTCAAAAAGTCTTGTGCCCTGCTCTCCTCTATTACATTTAAAACATGATTTGTACTTTTATATTTGACCGTTCCAATATGGCGGACAGCTTACGTAAAGTTGCTCATAGAAATAGCTGCTAATGAAAAATTAAGCCAAAATATCCCAGAAATGATTACATCATTCGAAGCCCGAGTCTGGGCAATAGTGATCCTGATGTTTGGCATCAAGATCCAGGCCATATGCTCTCGCAGACTCAATCACAAACACAATCATGATGTTACACCCCCTTTTTGTAGCATCAAATAACTAACTAAAACCCAAACTTATGGAAACACGAACACTTGAACATACGTACGGTTTTTTTCATAACTCAATGTGGCGAGGTGAAACATACTATAAGTGGAATATTCTGTGCATTAATTAATCTAATTAATCGAAATTGGCTTCATGCCAACTTATGGCATCAATGTAACCGACACCAGTAGAGCAGAAGAGCATGGCACGAGTAAAACCAACGTCATATGTTCGATTATTACCAGGACTTATGAAACGTGTACCTTCAATGCAATGTAAGTCGCTTTGGATAAAAGTATCTGCCAAATGCATAAATGTAAATGTAAATTTTCCAGGTATAAATAAACAAATTAGGTCTTTAAAGACAACATGATACAGCATTCACTACACATAATTAATCCTTATCGATGTTTATTTAATTGAATCTGGAAAATTAGATGTTGAAAGAAGTTAATTTTATATGTCCTTGCCTTTGCAACAGTAACAAAAGCAAAGCTGTTTTAGGGGCAAAAAGGTTATTACATTTCCAAAAAAACATTTTCTTTATAATAACATGCACCAGTGAATTGTGTGTATGACATAATTGAGAAAATAAAGAGGGCCAAGTTTGATTTCATGTTGACTAATTTACACAACACAGTAGGCCTACATGAAGTCATGAGAGCATTTGCAAACTCAATTATGTGCTTGTTCTCTGTGAGGTCAGAGTGAGTCTCTCATGGTATCTTGTTCACTATAGTCAAGGTGATTGACTTGGAATATTGACTGCACCCACTCACTAATTCGTTTACAAGGACTCATTAATCCAATTAAACCTGGGCCACTCTCACATTCACTATGTATTACATGACATCATTTCCTCTGGGCTTCTGCATAAGCTAACAAGGTCTTGTAAGTCCAAGATAAGATTGTTTGACATGTGTTGCTACTTTAAGAGAAGAAAGAGGAGCAATCCAGTTTTATC